CCGCTGATACGAGTCGGCTGATACGAGTTGGCTGATACGGAGGTTGCTGATACGAGTCCGCTGATACGAGCCGCTGATACGGAGGATCTGCTGATACGAGCCGCTGATACGGAGGATGCTGATACGAGCCGCTGATACGAGCCGCTGATACGCAGGATGCTGATACGCAGGATGCTGATACGGAGGCTCGTCGCTGATACAGACGCCTTCTTATTTGCTAATTTGCTAACTACTTGTCCCCCCTAATAGAACAAGTGGCTGTATACTACTACTATGTTAACTGTGCTGTGTTGTTATCCTCAACAAAAGGACCATCTTCTTATTAGCTGACAGGAGTGTTGGTATCAGTGTTGTCGGTGTTGGTGTTTTCGTTATCGTGGTGATTGTCGAGAATTACTCTCCCGACTTGCATTTTTTCCATAGAATTTGCCTTGTACATGACAGTGCGAGTACTTCTCATCAATCACCCTGATACAGTACGCACCACGCACTGGCTTGGTGCACCTACGTATATTATGTACTACGTCCTACACGGTTGCATTTTTGGTTGATATTTTGTTTGGTACTTGCCTGGGACGTTCCGAAACGGCTAATTTCCACGTACGCTTAGCWACCAGCTCTCCGACTWGTTCCAACGCAGCGCCTCTATGAAAAAAGAGGGGGTCCCGGGAAACAATTTTCATTTAGGTCAGATTTCTCTGGCTTTTTCCTGGTAGATTTATGGTAAAAACATTGTYRATTTAAGGTAGAAACATAGTCGATATATAGTCAATATGTGGTAACCCTATCAGCACGTGCCATATCTATTTATAGTATAAATCAWACATGGGRGTTCTGGGAAGGCTACAAAAAATCGACTTTAAATCAGATATCAATCAGATTTAAATCTGATTTGTATTCCTTTTCTAGTCGATTTGTAGTCGAATTCTGGTAGCAAAAAAAATCGAATTTTGAAAAAATAGTTTCCTGGGACCCCCTCTTTGCAGCAACAATCTACTGTAGTCGAACTAGTCGGAGAGCTGGTAGCTAAGCGTACGTGGAAATTAGTCGTTTCGGAACGTCCCTGGTACCGGTACCGGTACGTAGTTGATATTTCTTCGTAAGTAATTTTTCATGATGTGGGACTTCGAAGACATTCCACGACTAGAAAACCTGTACAATACGTACTTACAGGCCGGTAGGGTACGAGTACGGTAGGTTTCTGGAAAGAATCGCATTCCGTTTGATTTTCGGAATGCAAAAACAGTACAATACGTCTTACGTATCGCATTGGAATAGTATCTGGTAGATTCCATTTTTTGTCGAAGTTACGAGTACAGAATACGCACTCTGTACTCACACCCACCACACCCTTTGATATAAAATGTTAGCGTATGAATTACCAGTACGAAAATGGCATGAGAAGAAAAGGACAATCTTACTCAATCACCGTCGAGTGACAAGGAACCTACGAAGATAGCTAGTGGAATGAAAAACATGTGCAGTACAGTACTGTACATGCTGAAGAAATATCTCTAGCTAGTACGAAGATAATGAAAACAGGTTGGATGGAGGTGAATCAAATTGCAATCCATAGCTGTCATTCATTTCGTTCAAAATGTCAGCGCTGATTTCATTAAGAAACAATTTAAGTTCCTAATGTTTTATCCTGATACAGATATTGGTATGATGATGATTCTGTTGAGTAACAAACGATTCATCTTCATCGTGGAATCTACTTCCTCAAGGCAGGTTGTTAAAGGAACTTAAAGATCTGGAAAATTATTCTTAATCCAGGCAACAATAAACTATATTTCGATTCTTTGTGTTGCATCATTATTTTAATGGAGACAAATGACAATAATACAAAAATTCATGGTCTATTTTACACGCACGCACACGAAGAACTTCAGCATTCCTCCGCGCTCCACTCGGTTTCCTCGGAGACAGTGGAGCGTTCCTTAGTGAGAATYGTGTTCTCTAGCCCTCCTGTCTCGAGGTCTTTCTCGTTCGTGTATATTGAATCTCCGATCCATTCATCATCGCTCTTATATCCCACAAGGTATGCCGGGATCTTCGCTAAGGTCCAGGCCGCGTCGCAAATGCCTGTGCCTTCTACCACTAGGCACAAGCGAATGATCCAGATGCTCAACGGACACCCAATATAGAGCATCGGGAAAAAGTTGGCCGTGACTCTCCACGATAAGCTGGCAAAAATTGTCGAGACCAATGCGTTCAACAAACCGCTGTCAAAAAAGACGGATTGGATCTGGGGCGTAACTCCAAATAGTGTTTCGCCTTCAACCTTCATTTCGACCGTGATGATACGGGCAATCATAAACATGATGACGGTCTGGGAGATTTGGCGGCCCACCAGAAACGACTGAAGACGGCTATTTTTATCATTGTCCCGTTTGCTGCTTCCTGCTTTGCCGAGGATATACTCGCAGTTGCGCTTAGCTGTGGGATTCGCTTCAATACATTCTGATGGAAGGTGCTTCACAGCAAACAAGGCAATCTGCAATGCTTCCATGAAACCTCCAAGTACCAAAAGTACAAGCAGACTCACAAAAGAGACAGCGACAGGGATATTGTCCCGAACCGTTGTATCTCCATTTACGAGAGCGGTCGAAAAGACAACTATGGCAAAGATGGAGATAGCAAGCGAAAAGACCACACGTATCCAGAAAAAGATCTTTTGGTAAAGACTCTTTTTGCTGGGAGACAAACTTGACTCGTAGTGGTCACATTTAATCTCAAACTTCTCGTCCGAAGAGGATTCGTCGGATTCTTCTTCGCTGCTGGAATCTCTGGAATCGACAGACGTGTTCATCGTTTTGGTAGAGGACTTGCCGCTGCTGTTATTCTTCGAAGCATTCAGCTCCTGCTCCTTTGAATGTTTGTAGTCAACAATCTTAGTGAATATAATCTGGACAAAGTAGACAGCATGCAATATGCCCGAGGCCTCCACGCATAGGGCAATGTATGTGGAGGCGACCATCACCCAGTTGTTGATAAAATCCAGCATGCTGTGGGCACAGTTAATCTGTGCGATGAGCTGTCCGAAGACAATTGTACATAGAATGACTGCCAGATCACTTCCMAAAAAGATAACGTTAACAATTTTTGGTAGTCCCAAGACAGAGGCACCATCAATAGCGGAAACCATAAAAGAAGTGATGAAAACAATCATGAGATCCAGATACTGGCGGCCCACGATAAAGCGCTCGATGTTCTGGCTCTTATGAGCTACGCTGGTACACCGGTAGGTTTTGGGGTGAGATTTCTTGTAAAGGCATTGTGAAATAGGCTGGAGTCCAACCATGCAGTTGAGACCGCCCTCCATGACCGAAAGCCAAAAAAGCGACAACCAAAAGACGGCAAGGGCCAATATAGGATGAACGTTGTTCTCTCCGGTGGCAACCGTTTGTTTTGTGATTATAGCAGCCGATATTACAATCACCGAAAAGAGGATCAAGGCCATGGATAAAATCTTCTTGATTGTGGAGGAGGTCTTTCGGATGCAACTGCTACGATTGTTCGAGGTAGCATTGGGAATCATTTCTCCATCTTTCTCTGTCTTTGGTGATGGAGAGGAGGGGCCGGGAGAGGAACCTGAAACAAGTACTGGTGTAGGTGCGGACATGGTCGTTCAATGGACTCGCTTCCTGATCCAGCTCAAATTGATCTATTATGATTCTTCTTTATGTTTGAGATATTTGTTATGCTTTGCAATACTTTCGTCCGAGCGAGCCGAAAATATCTTCGTCGTAGTAGACAATCCGATTCGATTCTGGACGAGGATGTTTCAACTGATATCAATAGTTTAATGCTTAAATCAAGATAGACTATGTGATCAGTGCAGCTTTTAAAGAGGGAACGAGGGACGCCGTAGAGGATGGTAGGTACTGGAATTAGAATTGTGCTAATGACGAGACAAATTTTTTCTCAATGATATCACGAAACTTGTGAACAGAGCTCTCTTTTTCGCTCTGGAAAGATAATTTGAACACGGAATTAACGTTCCCGCGAGAAGAAGCACGTGGAGATGACTTCGAAGTTATTCTGTGAGAGGATCATAGTCAAATTTTGGAAGTATCTAGTTTTTGCGCGTCGGACATTCTTTGCACGTGTTTTAAAAAACTAAACTTTACTAAAAGGGATAGAAGTTGCTCGCGAAATGGAAAATGCGCCACAAATAATTAGTGCAATGCGTATCCTTAGCTGAGCGTTGAGACTAAGGAGTATGCTAGTTAAATAAGAAAGCACGTGATATCTTGTCTTGCCGGCGCGACCGGAAGCGTCGGCCGTTGAGTCGCAGAGCACGGAAAGAGCGCACTTGTCACGCTTTCAAATGTCTTTTGAGCGGCCTGGCTCGCTAGAGGTTACTCAGTATCACCGTCCTGTATACCGSCCGGTAGATTGAGAGGTAAAGAATGAGTTCTTGTTCTCCAGCCCTACCGTCTCTTCCGTTGAATCTGATGCACATTCCTTTCAGTAACCTTTCTGTTCAATTGCTGAAATCATAATAGTACGAGTAACATGTACGTACGGTAGGGTACGAGTACGTACGAGTAGTGTACCAAAAATGGTTCCACAGTGCAGTATCACCACCAGATTTTCGTCATCGACTTGTGAAAATAGCTACTTGTACTGTACCGGTAGAAGCTACGTACTGCATTTATTTCCGTATCAGAAAGTGTAGTGGTATGGCAAGAACCAATTACATAACGGTAGTACCGTACGTAAGTACCGTATGTACTGTAACTGTTAAGTGACGCACGATTTTGTAATTTTAAGTAAATTGGGACTATTTACGTACCGTATGGTGCTCTTACGCTACGAAGCGAATCGCTGTAAGAACTTCAATTAGTGTGAGTCGGTAACACGTTAATCACGAGTAGATAGTGAGTCATCAACAAGCTCAATCCACGAGCATCCATTCGTGCATGTTGTACAGTATGGTAGGACGTACGGTACCAGTTTTGTAAGAAGTATGGATCCGCCGTGCACGATTCGTCGATAGCACAGTACGGCACTCGTACGTACAGCAGGATCCATCGTGCACGACTGTTTTCGAATCCGATTTCTTGATCGATTAGCGGCGTTGCCATCAGTCTCACAATTTGAAAGGTTAAACCAAAGAAAACAACAGATATCTACAAATAACAAAAAAGAAATCAAATACAGTAATAACCAACAGCAACGAAAACGCAACGAAAAATATGAAAAGCAATTACCAAGGAACAACAACCAGCACCAACAAAAAAGAAAAACACGAATCCGAAGCCGACCTATCGAATTCCCCATTCGTCGAAGAGAGAAACTGTGATTCGTCGTCCTTATTCCTCGGCGTTTTTGACAAACGCTACCTCAAAACTGTGTATGGGATGTTGCACGGAATAACATCACTGTTAGCAGTAATTTTTGGTAACCTTGTCTTCATCAATCGTGTTTTGCTTGGAGGGACACGTAGCAACAACCTTGACGTCCTATTTCACGCCAATAACTTCATCGGATGCGCAATCACCGCCCTCTTCTTTTGGAACAAGGTCCAATCTTGGCAACTTTCGACCACAACAATGAAAGAAAAGGGGATTACACCGCAGACTATGCAGCAGTTGAATCAGGGAAGGGGGGTTATCTCAATGATGATCTTTTCCGCATTTCCCCTTGCATGTCATTATTCAGAGTCTCATAATTTCTTGGAGAGCAGGTTTTTCTCAACAACGTTGGCCCTCACCCTGATGACTGGTTCGGCTTTCGTATTTTACGTCTTTAGGGACTACGGGAAAGTTCTTTGGATGGTCTACGGGATGACCCCCATGGCTGTTGGAATTTGCATCTTTCTTTTTGGAACGATCGCTTCCCTGAACGAAGTCTGTCCGTTAGTTTTGGATCGCATCCAAACCGAAGCCTCCTATGTTGTTAGTTGTACCCAAGTTGGATTCCTACTATATTATCTGTATAGCCGCAAGCTTGTCACCAAGGCAACAGTCCAAAAGATATGCAAAACCTATCATGTTACCCTGAGCGTTGCATATTTGCTCCGTCTCGAACATGACTTGTTGATTTATTGCACAAATTCTAGCAACAGCAACAATCTTCTTCCGGGGCCTATGCTGATTCAACCAATGATTCTGACGATGGCCATGTCCGCCAAATTGTTGCCCCTCCTTTTCAAAATGGGTTTCCATGTAGTAGATAGGTTGAAGTGTGTTACCCTTGCAGGCATTCAGATGTCTCGACGAACACATGGAGTGAAAAAAAAAGGTGGTCGCTTTGGGAGAAACAAATTAAGTCCGACGAGTTGTCACCATCTTCAACTCGAGAACATAGAGGACGGGAGACGACACTGTTCACGAGACGGCCAAGGAGGCAATCCCTTCGTACTTCCGCTCGTTTTGAGGCGGCTATTCATAGATAGAGAGAGAGAGATACSTAACCAATAATTAGAATAAGCAATGAACCAAAAAAAATTTCATGATCAATCCAGCACTCCCTCTGCTATTGAATAATTTATGTCATATCCACTAGTAGTAGTAGTAGTAGTAGCAGCAGCAGCAGCAGCAGCACCCATAAATACAGTATCAAAGTACTCAATCCCAAGCTTGCTCTCTGTTGTACTTATTGCATCACCAAAGGGATATGAATATGATCACACTACGGGTACTAGTACTAATGGGTCACTTCCTTATACATTGAATTTATGCTAACAAACTCCATGTTGTTGAGTATACAAGATTAAGTAGTATGTGAGTACTGAACATAGAATCATAGGTATTGAATTATTGCATGCTACATGTGCTTAATTTGGAATATGGAATTTGGCTTGAAATTAACAGAAAATAACTGCATTCTTGCTAAATATTGAGAACACATGGTGCCAGCAAGCACGTCAAAACACTAAGTACTATTGAGAACACATGGTGAAGTAAGTGGGCCAAAACAAATCCAAAATACCAAGAAAACTGTCAATAACAACAACAGCAGGTCCCACACAATTAAGCTATTACTCTGCACAAGATTAYGTGTACTCTGAGTATGTTTTAAGTGTGTATGAAAATTGAATTATAAGATTAGAATTATTCAAAGATTACCGAGCGTGTTCACGAGAATTCTGAAGTTCGGATTAGATCCTCATGTAGATCTGGTACTGAATCTACATGAAGGTTCTTCTATTCCGGACTCGTGACATCTCTGTTCTTCGTGAGGTATTCTCGAATGATATCTTGGACCTCTTACAATCCTCAATACGAAGGATTGTATGATATATATATATATATATATAAATAGTACATTATGATTCATAGGTAGGAATAGTATGTTCATCTATTCCAGGGGAGCATCATTTATACGTATGCTCCTAATACAGTACGTACGTATTCTTCCAATACAGTACGTACGTATACGTTGCATACTCTGTACTTTTCTCTACAGTACTATCACCACAAACTAGCCTGTAAACTCACAAAAAGGACCATGAAGACAATGAAGATCCTCAATGGACTCATGTCAACAGGAACTAAAAGTCGAGTACCCTGAGAACCCCCAGAACCGCAGGGAGGAACTACACCTGGGAATGTGGTGTAATTTGAGGCGTCTGCTTAGGCATTGATTCTGTCACTGATTCCAGACACCACAAAAAACAAAGTCAGTTCTGAACTCAACAATCAGCATGGTCTTAACGAAGCTGCAGCAGCTAATGTCAACCTGAGGAGGCAGGAGGTCTGGAACATGAAACTTTACCACTCAAGAAATAATTGATTTAATGTATGCCAACTTGGTATGGCTTCCTCCTATTGGGACTGATCAGTGGAATTAAGTAGAATTGACTCATGCTCTGAACTATCCTCATGCCAATAGAGATGTCAACTCCATTTGTAAGAAGTATTCATCTCTTTATAGGAAAAATATCCCTACTGGTGATCCAAACTGTCCTTTGGCAGTGAGGCTGYTGGTCAGGAGGGCCAAGGGCTTGATTGGAGAGAAGGCTGAGGACATTGGAGGAGATGGGGAGGAGCACTTTGATATACAATGTTCTTACTCATGACAGGAACAATGGCACCAACACCAACAACAACATTAACACCTCCACTAAGTTTCATCAAAAGAAACAGAAGATTCACAAGAACTTACTCAATAAAAAGAGACTCAGACTACCAATGGCRCAGCTGTTGCAGTTGCAGTTTTTGATGCAGGTGCAAGTGTTCTTGGATCCCTTGTCACCATTGCCATGCAGCACTTCAGTCCTAAAGCCAGCAAGAAGCACAAAGCACAGATAGCAGCAGCAGTGAGAATCTAGCAACAGTTTATCAGATCCCGATTAGTCAAGGACAAATCCTCCCATTGTCACATTTATAATTTACATTAAATGTATCTATCTTATCCAATTAGTAGTAACACTAATCAACTTTAAGAATTTGGTCCATGCAGACTGCTGCATTATGGGAAGAGCAAGTGAGTTAGCTCATGTTATTCCATACTATTTCTACATGGTATTCCATGTTATGTTGGAACTTTCAAGTTCAACTGGCACCTAAGAATACTCCAACATGCATTGCTTTCATGTACTATATACTACAAAACAAATATTTTTATTGCACTTATTCCCGTTGTCTTATTATTGAATTTTGCTATCATTTGTTTATCCAAAAAGTATATTTCTTATTGCTTTTGATTTAATGCCTTAATGCTTAAACATTTCAATGGGTGCTTCTATGCTTCAACAGACCATGTGAAACTTTGAAAAATTCAAATAACACATACAAACATGTGCAAATCCAATTTAACACAAAGTATTGCATAGCTTTGCTCTTCCCTCCTCCACAGCTCTGTAGCTCACTTTGCTGATATGAATTAGCTTAAACTTGTTTAGTTGTGCTACTTCTGATTGATTGAAAATGATAGGTATTCTTGTCCTTTGTTTGGCTGTATTGTTGTATTGCTGGTGCATCATTGTTTTGTTGTTTTGTTCCTTTGTTCCTTTGTTGTTTTTGTTTTTGTTGTTGTATTGTAGTATTGTTGTTGTGTTTCCGCAGATATCCAGTTGTTGTTATGTTGTTGTGTTTCCTCTAGACTCTTCTCACCAAAACAAAGTTGTTTGCATCCTTGTCAATTGTTGTCATTGGATGTGAGAAGAAGAACCCCCTTTTCCATTGATCATTGGGCATGAACACATTCAGGATCTGATTGATGCCTACAGTGCTGGCCTGATAATTGTACAACATGATCACTGTGTTCAAGACAAGAACTTTCTTCTTTTCACCACCATGGTCCTCAAGCCTGATCCTGTCCTTCAGCCTTGGAGAGGGATTATCCTCATGCCCCACTCAGACAGCTGTCTCAATGATGCAGGTTGGCAATTAATGAATATAGCAGCTCTAGTAGCACTTGCATTGACCAGGAAGTCTGGATCCCTTTGAGCACTCCTGACAAGACATGGTTTACCAAGTAAGCTGAAGGCTGAGTCAACCATGACCTTTGCTCGTCCGTACAAGTTATACTACATGCCCTCCATTCTATTGTAGACACCATACTACTCTGACATGGTGCTATTGTGCCAAGACCTAGGACAGTTGAAAGTGCAAGCTCTGATTTTGCCATCAGGAGCCAAGACAAAGAACCTATTGACATACATATCACATGTCCATCCATTGTAGTGGCACATGTTCTATGTTGCCCAGTTTGAAGAGGTCTGCAATCCAAGCTTCAGGCCGTCTGCAGAACCCTAGACTCTTTGTTCTCCAAGGAGTGGGCATTTTTCACTGATAGCAGCAACATAAGCATCAATATCCTCTCTGAAGGGAGCTCTGACTCTGGTGTCTGGATGGTCTTGCAAGACAAAGAGGAGAACACCACACCTGGAGAACTTGACCCATTTGTACATCACTGTTGATGTGAGTCCAAATGTCACAAACAGCCCTCTTGCTACTGAATCACAGGTCATGAACCAGTATAACAGTAATCCAAGACAAGAAACCAGCAGGGTGTTTACTTCCCTGTGTTTTCCCTTTGGCATGATTCCATCATTCCTGTGGAAAAATATTCTTCTTACTATGCAACCAATTGCTTCATCAACCATGTAGAGGTTGAATACTGGTGCATAGAGTGCAAGGAGACCTCTGAAGATCATGTGGTCTACAACGACCACAACGACAGTTTAGAAGAGCCTGTTTGTTGTTGCCAGAACGAAACAAGTGGAGGCATGGAGACTGATTGCATCTCCTGATTGCAAGCCTTTGGGTTCTTCTCCTATCCCTAATATCCCTMTCTTCTGGAGACAAATTGTCCTGCTTGTCTAGCTCATACTAGTGGAGAGCTAAGCAAAGGATGATCAATTCTAGGGACATGGTCCTTTTTTGTAGTAGAGTGCAAAGTGGACTGGTGGTTCTTGTCTCCTGCACTGCATTGACGTTCATTTGATGCTGCTACAGCTATCTTTTTCCTATTTTTTAGATTAGTGGTGACACTTGCTGGGATTYCTTTTGAGAACACAAGTTGACACTTGAGTCACACTTTAGTAGCTTCATTTTTGGGGCACCATTTTTGGCTCCTGTGGCTCTTCATGATTCAAAAGCCTTGAATCAAGGATTCCAAGAAAGTATGCTGTGTATGCATAGTACTTTTTTGCTGTTGTAGAGAGTCTGCAACAACTCCCTTCTTTTTTAGCATGACTGAAAATTAAATGTAATTATATAGATTCAATGATTGTGGCAATGATCCAATATTCACATGGTGTTTTGAGTAAGGTCTGATAGACATGGGGGGGGGGCGCTCAGTGAATCGTAACCGAAGTGTCGTAGCCAGGTATGGCTTTGTGAGTTTCGGTTGTCATGAAGTAACAGGTACCACAACTCACACATCACTGCTYAGATTTTTGAACTAAACCCTCCAACGCCTCGCGGCGTCGTCGGGAGGAAGTCTCAAAATCACACCARGTKTCATCCACGCGCACGAGCGCTGCGACACCGAATTGMTKGRACACGGGTTTTTGTGAGCAGTCCAGCTATCGGGTATATTTTTTACGCTCAAAATATCAAAACGATTGAAAAAGCAATAGAACATTGTGCAGATGTTGCAAGCACACAGGGTAACAAGTTAGTTACTAGTTAGCTTGTTAGTCAGTGACTGATTTCGTCTCTCAAACAGTTTGACCCATATCGGTTAGGTAAACGAAAGAGGGAGTTTGTGTTTGTGAATCCGTCCATAGAGTCGCGACGGGGGCTGTTGCTCAGAGAAGGCAAAAAAGGGAAATCCAATCGTACCACGAATGGAGGACCAAACTGCGCTCGTACGCGTCGACCTCGTCTGTTCCCGCCTCCACTTTTCGGAGGAACGATCACAAATTAAAACGATTACAGCATCCGTCACTAAGATTTGGAGCATCAGCAACAGCTGCAAGAACAACCGTACTGTAGATGTATGGTGAATCTTTCGGAAGAAATGCCTACATCATAGCTATCCTCCTGAGGGATCATTGATATTGCAAGGATAACAATAGTGCCAACTTGTCGAAACGAAAATGAAGAGCAATCGAGACAAACAATGACGAAATGTCAACAATATCATGTTATCCCTGACGCCCGATAGAATGCAACAGGCCAAGAGAATTCGATGCGATCGAATGGTTGCGATAGTTCTTGCCGTCGTGCTGCTTGTATGCCCACCGCTCTGTCAACCTTCATTATTTTGTGTTGGTTTCGATGCGATTGGTTTCTTGCGGAAAAGCAACACGTCGCATAGACTACCATGTTTACAGCATCAATGGCAAATACTATTGTCAGCAAAAAACAAGGATCATAATGACACCACCATTATTCACAACTGGTGGAACGTAATCCTCCGTATCAGATAGCATAGAGTGATACATCCTGTCGTTGAATGTCATTCTAATTTGCCGCAGTTTCTATATTGGTTTTGTTGATAGTGAAAGTTTCGCCTCGATTGTGTGTTTCTGTATATGTATTGCACACACTAGGAGTAGCTAGGAGTCCGTGGGCTGGCAACCAGTAATCAATACGCTCACTATTTTTCTTACTTAGCGGTTACGTCTTTAGTACCCCATGGCACACCCATCGGCCCGGCCGTCGGATCCCGCCCACAAAACTCCGGTCTTCGGATCTCTCTTGATGATCTGGGCGCGACCGAAGGCGGCACGAGAGAGCCCGTCCACGTTTCCCTGGATCTTGTGGCCCATGTTCTTGAGCCCTCGGACGACGTGACTGGGAACCTCCTTTTCCATCAATACCTTGCCCTGCTGGGTCCCGTCGGCAATGCAGAAGCGGGGCATGTCAATTGCAGCCTGGGGATCTAGTCCAGAACGGACCATGTGAACCGTCAGCTGGACGTGCCCTTGTGGTTGCATGTTTCCACCCAWGTTGCTTATGGTCGCGTATAGATCGTCCGTGTGTTTGTATGTAAGCATTCCCGGAAGGATAGTGTGGAGGGGCCGCTTCGAGGGTCCCAGCACGTTTGGATGGTTTTCGGAACCCTTCCCGATCAAGAACCCAAAACCACGGTTCTGGAGGGAGAATCCACAGCCCTTGGGAACGATCCCTGTTCCGAATCCCATGTAGTTCGAGTTAACAAAGGAAATCGCGTTTCCATCCTTATCGACAACCTGGAAACTCACGGTACAACTGCTGGGGTCTGGAACTCCTGCAATGGTTGCTGCTAGGGGGTCAAATAGATCCTCGGCACGTTTCGATAGGCGTTCTTCGTCAAGGATGTTATCGCATTTCACCTTCATGTGGTCGAGGTCGCCCACGTGGGCCCTCGCATCGGCAAATCCCAGACGCATCATTTCGATCATCCTATGGTACGATGAGCGGCTTCCAATATCTTCAAAGCTGCAAGCTTCCTCTTCGAGGGTCTCGATACCCTTGAGGGCAACCAACCCAGCGATGCCCTGTCCGTTCGGCGGTACCTCCCACAGCTTGACGTTGCGGTAGCTCACACAAATTGGATCCGGAAAGCTTGTTTTCGTATCGGCTAAATCCTGCTGGGACATTAAGCCCCCGTGCTTTTGAATAGCTTCGACAATGGCATTTCCTGTCTCTCCCTCATAGAAGCCTTCCTTTGCGCCCTTGGCACCCAGGTCTCGCAAAACCCGAGCCATATCTGGGTTGTATACTATGTCACCGGGTTCTGGTCCTCGCTCTCCGTCCACCGATAAGGGAACAKCTTCCCCCTTTTCCAACCACTTGACGATCTGAGCCATGCCTGCCTTCCAGTGGTGGGCCGTGGTGGTCTGGAYAGGAAACCCCTCCTCGGCCAATTTAGCCGCAGGCTCGAGGAGGTCCGCCAGGGTGAAGTTTCCCGATCCGTGTTTCTTCAGCAAATCCTCGTATCCCATAGCTGTTCCAGGAACCGTAACGGCGTGCGCCGAAAACTTGTAGTCTTCTTCGTTGGGACAGTCGGCCCTCGCCTTCTCCAGGGTAAGCCGGGATGGAGATCGCCCGCTCCCGTTCACGGCAGTGACCTTCTTCGTGGAAGCCTCGTAGTACAGACAAAACATATCTCCTCCCAGTCCGCATGAGCAAGGTTCTGTTACACACAGGGCTGCMGAGACACCAATAGCGGCCTCCGCCGCGTTGGCCCCCCTCCGCAGGAGGTCCAGACCGATCGAGGAGGCGAGTGGCTGGCTGGAAGCAACGCATCCGTTGCGGCAGAGAACGGGAGACCTGCGGGTGGGGCACGGAAGCTTGTCGTGGTGGACAATGTCTTCTTTCAAGGAGGAGGCGTTGCCCCAGACATCGACTTCCTCTTCGTTGTCGATGGGCTCGGCAGCGGAAAACCAGTCTGACATGGTGATGCTTGACCGCTTCAATTTTTATGCAATTATGGAAGAATGACGACAATCTCAATCGTTCGCAATCTGACTGAGGTGCTTGTGTTTCGTGTTTCGTGTCCAAGCCCCAGGTACGTGCGTACCGTACGTACGGTATGTACCTTGTTGGAAGTTGGAAGTGGGAAGCCACTGTACCAGGTACTAGAATACGTTCCGCGTTTTTTTTCAAATCCTTCCCGAGTAGTATGAGTACGTATGTAATTTTCGTACGTAGCGTACCGGTAGGAGTCGGAAATGATACAGTAAATGATGAGAGATTTGAGATTTTGTTTCTTCATCGATGATGTTTGCATCAATCATTGGCAACTATCAGAGTGACAGTGACACGAAAACATGCGTTGCTTCTTTTACTGCTTCTGAATTGATTTCTACGCATCGGACGGCCATCGTACGTCAACTCAACTCAACTCAACTTGCCGTTTCGATGTAGGGCTTTGTACTGTTGACAACGCCACCAACAGCACAATAATATTTTAATTGAGACTATTCTGTTCCATGCTACCCCAAATTCGGTTTCCAATCGCCTGCAAAGCGACCAATTTGCACTAATCTGTCATGATTCACTGCTGGTGTCGTCGCAAGAATTGTGTGGAAATGATGATATTCCTCTTCTTTTGCTTTTGCGTRTCRCATATCCCTTGTGTGCGGATGTTCACATTGAATGGAACTAGGAATTTAAATACAAAAGCAATTGCAAATAGAAATAAAAATTGGGACAAGAGTATGGGGACTATCCTGTGCGATACATCAAAACATCAGCAGCAGCAACCTACAGATCTTTGGGCACAGCTGCAGCAAAAACTRCCAACGATAAAAGTGATTGTGATTGGAGCTGGAATCTCGGGACTTTCTGTTGCCTATCACCTAAAGAAACKCTCCGAAATGGAGCAGGAAACCGAAACAAAAGCGACGGGAACATCCACAAAAAAACACCAACGACGACATTTGCTGGAGGTGGAAYTTCTCGAGGCTCGAGATAGAATTGGCGGCCGTGTCGAACCCTTTCTCCTCGACAGCGACRAAAAAAAAGGAGTCGAAACCTGGGTGGATCTTGGAGGCCAATGGGTGCACCAGTCCTCGYCCAAAAATCCGATACGGCGGCTCATGGAAGACGAGCTGAACCTATCCTTTGTAGGTGACGACAAGGTCAACCGCAAGAAACAAGTGACAAAAGCAACGAATCGTTTCCAACAACGCAAGCTCACCAACGTTTTGTTCGACCAAGATGGAAACCCTGTGARCAAGGCTATCGTCCAGCGGGCCAAAAGGATGTTCTATAAGGCCATGGGCGATTGGAAAACGGAAGGCGGAGGCGACAGAAACAACGATGTTCTCGACGACCAAGGAAATTTGAGCGCACACGTGTCTCCAAATCGTATCAACATCTCCTTCAAAGATTTTATCGATGCGCGTGTAAAGCTCGAACTACAAGCTACTACCAAGGATGACAAAAACATGGGTCGCGATTCAAAAAAATGCACCACACAACAATTGATAAGCGTGATGAATTACCTTGTCCACCGCTCCGAAGAAAACGAGGGTGGAAACCTTAGGGAAGTTTCGGCGTTGCTGGCCCAGAATCTCTAYGATTGGCAGGAAACGGTGGGTGAAGGACCCGATCGCGTTATTAAGGGATCTTACAAGAGCCTCTTGGACGCACTGGCATGTAAACTAAACCTGGATATAAACAAACCATATTCGCCAGAAGCAGCAGCAACGCCTAGAACATTCACTTCTGGTCCAAAGATTGCCGAGACTACTCCTACTTCTGTTTCAAGCGAGAGCCATGGAYATCAAATTGGGCTCTGTCGGGTGCGTTTGCGACCAAATGTCAGGGTCGGGCAAATCAATTACGACAACGGCAACGGCAACAAGAGGAATGGCAGAACCGAGAAAATGATCTCGCTTGCAGTTGTGGAAACGGACAATAATGAAAACARCAACGSAACGATCGTTCCAGATTGTACCTGCTGTAGTAATAGCAACAATACAATCGATGGTTTAGAACCAAACAAAACCACATCTCCCGATAAGCATACCACGACTGTGCAAAAAATACTGGAGTGTGACTATTGCGTCTGCACGGTTCCCCTGGGTGTCCTTCAGCAGGGCAGTATCAAATTTGTTCCACCACTGCCCCCCAAGAGACAAGAGGCCATCGACGGAATCGGAATGGGCTTGCTGAACAAAATCGTCTTCCGTTTTGATTTTGCCACCGCCGACCGCCAGGTGCCGTTCTGGGGAGATCTCAAGCAGTTCGGGATCTGTCACGAGGATCCGTCCATGATCAAAACCTATTACGATTGCACWGAGGATTATTACGATAATAATGATGAAATCGATAGCAGTGGAGACACCAAAAAGCATAGAACCACGTCGGCCGTCCTGGTTCAGTTTTTGGCGGGCGCGTCGGCGGATCGGGTAGACCCTCCTCTTCCGCTGCGAAAGGACCGTGAAGACGATGCCATGCCTCTAATCGAAACCAAAGAGAGTGGTCTCACCGACGAGGAAGTCATCAAGGAATCTCTCGAGGCCTTGAGATCGGTCTTTGGATCAAATACAGTCCCTGACCCCGTCGTGAGCAAGATCACGCGGTGGCGAAAGGATCCCTGGAGTTGCGGATCCTACTCTTTTGCCAAGATAGGATCTTCTCCAAAYATGTACGATGAAATTGCATCCCCGCTTGGAGGTGRAAGGAGCAACAGCTGTAGCGACAATAGAAGCAACAAAAAYAACTACAACAGCAAGGATCACGGTCGTTTACTCTTTGCGGGAGAACATACAAGCAAATATTATCATTCCACTGTTCACGGGGCTTGGGAAACTGGACAACGAGAAGCGGAACGAATTTTCAAGCAAATCACTAACACTGAATAAGAACAGAKGTTTCGAGGGAAGAAACTGAGTTCACCGATTCATCTTCGAATATATTGATAGARATCTGTACAAAAATAAAGAACATATTCTTGTGTTATTGCCCTGGCTATTCCATTTCGTATTTGTTTTTGCGCCGATTGTCGACCGTTTTGTGAAATTGGAACATGAAAAGACAATTATGCCGGACACACATTATTGACTAAGAGATGAAGTCTAACTACGAGATAGAGCAAGGTATTGAGTGGTCGTACGAAGCATGGCATATGCTGTAGTAATTGCTTAGCTTATTTGTGAAAATCCCAATGCATGAGAGGTGCCAAACGATTGTCAGCAATAGYGAACTTGCAGCCCAAGACCCTCTTGCCCAATGAAAAAGTAGTGTCAAATTATGTTTATTTTAAGATTCCAGGAAGATATTGGGTGATTCCAGTAAACATAGAATCTAGAACAACATACTTTGTGTCTATGACTTAACGGGAATAAAAATGTGACTACATCGTAGAATATGTCTTGCTACATGTGCTAAATTTGGAATAAGGAATTTTGCTTGATTGAGAACACATGGTGCCAGCAAGCAAACACGTGCACATGACTTCATAATTCTTGAATCCTGGATTCCAAAATAGTATGTATGTTAATGCATACTTTTGGTTGACGTGAGCCTCCGACAACCAAAAATCTATGCATTTGTGTCAAAAACACACACTTCTATGTGTGCTCGTCTAAAGTCTAATTCAATTTTACTTATATCTATGTTTACAGGAATCACCCATTATCACCGTGTATGGCAGTCAGGATCTGTGAAAAAATACTGGCAAAAAAGTTGGTCATGAGGATGGCAGAAGTTATTTTGTACTTCCTGTTGTATGGCATGTACTGGAGGAAGCCAACTCAAGAAGAGACGAGAATCAAAGAAAAAAGTCATTACTAATCAACTTTTGAGACATACATTCTTGAACATCAACCATGTGGTACATTACAGTAAGCATTACTGTTCTATCTGTCCCTGTTTTAGACTAACAATGGGTCATTCCTGTAAACATGATTTATCCAGGTWTGTAATCAGGAATCACTTTCAGTGGTTCCAAAGGCTCAGCAGGCTGGCTCAAATTACATATTTTCTCCCCATTTTTGGAATTTGTAATCCCATAAAATTATGGGATGCCAAGGATTACACTAATGAATGTGAATGCCTCTCCATTCATCCATTTGTTTGGTTCTGGTGACAATCAGGCTCTTCTAAATTGCTGTGGTGTTGACCATAGTGTCTTTAGGAACCCTCCTCTCCATTTTTGATCCAGTGTTTGATAGATACAATGTGGACAGATACACCAAGCAATTCAGACTTTGTCTATTTACCAAGAAAGGCAAACCCAAGGGCAAAGCAAGAGAGGTAACTGCAACCATTGGAATGGCATTAGTCTTGACTTGGTACAGGACACAAGGATCAGCAGCTAGGGCCTTGTCTATGGTGATTAGGCTTTCTTTGACACCCCTCTATAGATGGTTGAAATTTTCTAGATGAGTCCTTCTTTTTGTGTTGCAAAATCACCCAAATACAATTATTAGACCCCCAAGAGATGAAGAAGTGGAGGCACATGTGGCAGCAATAGAAAGAAAGTATCCTACTCTTGGAACAAAAAAGAGTATGGGCTGCAGCAGATGGCCTCAAAGTTAAGCTTGAGAACTCTACTACCAATTGGGCCATTCAGATCATGTACTATAACTTGTGGGTCATGGATACTTACATTAATAGTGTCCTTGTCTTTGCCCCAGACAGACAAATCATTTAACTGTCCTGGGACTTTTCACAACAGCACCAAAGCAGATTATGGCATTTATGACAAGTTGAAGGCCATATATATCAGGAATGGTGTGTCAGTTGTTGTCAATTCCACATTTAAGGTAAAAGGGGCCAAACATCTCATTCAGAGCCAGCAGAATGATCTCAACAATTTTGCCACCATGGAAGAGAACACCCAGGCTATTGTAATTAACAGGGAAGCAACAGCAGTCCAGCAGTTGTCTGAACAGGAAACTTTTACTGGAAGAGCTTGGAGATAGGAAGATCMTTCTAAACCTCTTGTTATTGTTGTATATTTATCAATGCAGCACCAAGGTAGGYGTTAATCAGGTCCTGGATTCCTTCATGAGTGATATGAGTGGCTTTGAATCCTTGTTTCAACAGCTGAGGAAATCCTACACCAGCAGACAGATAGGATACTTCTCCTATAGACTTCAGCCCAATCGGGACACAAATAGCTTGTTCCCCAGCTTATTCTGAGTAGATTGTTGATTGCGTGGATTGTCAATTGTGTCCAAGAAAAAGTGGATTTTCAATTGCTGTCGATTGCCGCCCATGGTCAAGTCAATTGTTGTTTTAGTTATCTAATGTGGTTTAGTTCTTTAATGGATGATTAATAGTAGTACAATTGATTATTGCTACTACAGTTAGGTTGTACTCCAGTTACTCCAGCTAAGAATATGAAGAGTGAAGGATGAGCTAAAAGAGGATCCTAAAAAGTGGCCTACACAATACACTGTGTTATTTGAGTTCCTTCCCCACTATAGCATTCTTGTGTTATTTTGTGCTGCTGGTTTTCATGGATACCTTCCCACAAAAAACCAGGATTGGTAACAGAGAGGGAATGTGTTGTACATGGAAGCAATCCAACATGATTGCTGGTATGCTTTGGTTTACATAGAGGAAACGTTTTGCAGATGGAAAAAATTCCACACAATTGCTTTGATTTTGATTTACATGAAGTATTGCATAGACTGGATTTAGAAGTAGTATACTGCAGTGTTATTCAGTACTCATAAATTGCAAATAGAGCAAACAGCAAACATTTGAGGACAATGGCGTTGACAAAGCGTATGCGTTRTCGATRACGGTGTTAGTGACAATGTGGAAGYGTTGTCRAAGAAGATGGCRGTGACAAGCGCATGCGCCGTCAATGCGTTGTTCAAAGGTGTGTGTCGACGTTGCGTCGGTAGAGTTCGTATTAAGGAGAGAGCACGCCTAAAAAAATATCACCATGGTGGTGATTAATTTTTATTGGAAGGGTGTCATAACCTGTGGGAGAGACTGTCCTAATAGTGATGTAAAGTGTRTGCTAGTAGAAAAGTGAGTCGATGCTCTTATTGAGGATCGACGAACTATGAAATCTAGAATGGATTGCTGTGGGGATCGAGTGAGGTGTGGATCGAATGAGTCAAGTCACTCACGCAAGTGAATGAGATGAGTCAYRTCGATCATATGAATCCTAGGGGATCACGTGAGTCATATATGTATGGTGTGTATGAATMGTAGATACGTATCGTATGTACGTGTCGTATGTATGAATCATACCCACGGTCTGATATCCTACGGACAACACAGCAAATAGTAGTTTAATTTAGTAATCATAAATAGTATTTAACCATGGGATTAGACAGAATTGTTGTCTGAGGAAAAGGAGGATGAGGACAAGTCCTCRTGCTGTCTCTTCTTCCTCCAACAACCAGCAGCAGTAGGGACAAAAGCAGACCATATCTTTGATTTCTGTCAAGGTATGCTGATACTGTTGAATTGATGCTTCTTGGTAAGCTTTTTGCTGTTGCATTGAAGCTTCTTGTAAGGCTTGTCAAGCAATTCCTGGTGCTTTATGGACATCTGGAACATGGATGTGAATTCTGTGTTGGTGTTGTTGCTGATGCTGATGCTGGAGCAGCTGGAGGMTTTTGAGTATGCTCTCTTGAGGGGAGGGCAAGGAGTGCTCTGAGGAGGAACAGAAACAATTGATGCTTGCTGAGTTGATTGGGTTGTTGCTTGAGTGGATTGAGTTGCTTCAGTTGTTTGAGTTGGAGCAGTAAGTTGAGCAAGCTGCACCATCTGAGTTGCASCAATCTGAGTTGGTGTAAACTGAGTTGGTGTCTTGTCACCAAGCTGAGTTGGTGTCTCACCAAGCTGAGTCAGTGTTGGCACCATTTCTTGAGTAAGTTGTGAAGGCTGTTGAAGAGGAGGAGGACTATCCATGTTCTTATTGTCATTGTTACCTAGCACTAAAGTGGAGTGATCCTCACTAATCTTGTATCCTTCTTCCAGATCAAAATCCTCTTCTCCATCTCCAATGGCAGCCTTGGCACCAATCAATAGCTTGATCTAGTTTGCAAGCTTGATTGCTAATGATATGARTGGATTCCCAGTAGGAATCTTTTTTCTGTGGAGGGAAGTATACTTCCTGGTGATGGATTCCTTGTCTCTCCCAGTAGCCCAGTTTTCTTCATGGGTATCGACAACTATCACCCATTGTTCTGGACCAATTGGAAGTATCTTCCTCAGGGTATTCAGCATGCACATGGTCTTCCTCATGGTGTAGTTGATGGAACCCTTAGACCTTCCTCCTCTTTCTTGTGTAGTTGTGCTGGTGCTGGTGCTGGTGCTGGAGCTGGAGCTGGAGCCATGATCCTTCTGTTCTTTTTGTGAGCAGAGGGCATGCAAATCACATATGGGATCTTGTGGCCTTCCCCCCTGTCTTCCCCCTTGAGGCAAGAGCGCTGGCACTCCTTCCCTCTCTTAGCAAGCTCATGCATCCTCCACAACAGAACAATCTGGGTGCTTGTGTTACTATTAACTAGTAGAGGGCTCCACRTGCCAGCCATCATCAGCATGGTTAGCACACTGCCTCCTCCTCTTCATCCGTGATGCATCATCTGGTTTCTTTGTCTTTGTTCTTGAGTGTGGTGTTCTGCCTCATGTTGCATGTGTTCTGTTCTTGTTGAGCAGGGAAGCAAAGATATGATGCTTTAAGAAGGAAGATGCTCAAAAATCAGTTTAGCGCCAAGTGACTCCTGTCTTTAGTAGTGGCATGCATCAGCTCACCAGACTGAATATGTTCAGTCAAGGATTCCAATAAAAAATATGTCTCCATACTACACAGATCCTGGTTGGTGTGCTGGGCCCACTGCCACCAGAAATTATGTATTTAGAGGATACATAAAAAAGAGCTGGCAAGTCGAAAAAGACATAGTTCAATGTTTATGGGAATGACCCAATGATAGTCCTAAATTTTCATTACTGTATTTCTGAAGTAACAGTATAGTCTGTGATGTTGGGTGATTCCCATTATTATGTAAATTCTAAATTTGATAGACAGACAGACCAAAAATCTATGACATGTTGTCAAAGATTTAGCAATTTTAGAATGGGTCAACCGACGCCATTCCGAATGTGCTAGATCTATCATGATNATTTTAGAATGGGTCAACCGACGCCATTCCGAATGTGCTAGATCTATCATGATGGAACCCAAGAATCAAAATTTCAAGTCTGTTGTAAGATTTAACAGAAAGCCCTAGTACTGTGCCTACCCAGACATGATCTTCTTTTTAGTCATTACAGTACAAACTATTTAAGATTCCAGATTCTCCTCAAAAAGACCGAGATGAAGCCTGCCTTCCTTGCCATCTGTCGTCCTTTGAAATTTTGATTCCTGATATTATACTAAATTGCTAAAAATGCTAACTTAGCATTCTATTAACTACATGAGGGAGAAAATGCAACTGGACGAAATTGCAACTTTTCTAACAGAAACTACGTAGACGTCTTAATCTGATGTTAAGTTGCTATTTTATTTTACAATACAATTAAATTTCCACTGTACCGGTAGATTGGGCAGTTTATTGCATGCATTTAACACGTAAGGGACTAAATTTGTACTTCAATTCAAATTTGCATTTTCTCCCTCGCGTGTACGTAGTTAACGGGAACCACCCATTTTATTCTTTTTAAGAAGACTAAACAGCTGAACCTCATTAAAAAATGTTTGTTAAGTATTGGAAGCAAGAATGTTTCGTAAGCGTCACAGATACGAGTTATCTTTTTGAATCGTACGTACAATCTTCCGAAATAAGACTAAGTAAATCGGTATGATTTCAAAAGCCAATATAGTCCTTGAAAAGTATCAGCAAGGCCCATTAGTCTGACTAATGATAAAATTCCATTAGGCAGTCATTCTCTCGATATGTCATTATGATATCGCATTGCACTTATTATTTTRATAGTCGATTCCAGCGAACCTCTCAATGACTTTCAAACGTTTCGAATAAATAATGTTTGTGGTCATTTTCTACGCATTGCGAATCATAGCTAGACCGATCCAAAGTTTTTAGGAGTAMGTACTGTCCGGTACGCCTCCAGTAATAGTAGTATTATTCGTAATACTAATATTCTTTGGATTCCACCACATCGAAGTACGAGTACGTACCGTACCCGTGATAGTACTTTTTTCCAAAAATACTTCATATGTATTTAATATGGGTCATTTTGACGTTTTCATTTTGTGCATGTCGTCAACGGCTTTTAGAAAGTGTTCTGGGAGAAAAAACAGTACCTGGTACTGTACGATAGGCACGGTGGTACCAGGTACCCACTCGTAGTATCGGTATGATAATATTATTAATTATTACGAAGTACCTACAACAACAACAAAAAGTTCGGAAACCGGACATGCATTCCATACAATCATAACATTTCCATTGATCAAATAAATAAATAATAATAATAATAATAATACTGCGATCAAGCTTCGAATCCATTACTGAAATGAAGAAAGAAACCGTCACCAGGCCAACCAAAAAAGAGACAGATGTAGATTCCGCTTTTACGAAAAGCAACAAGCTAATTTCTCTTAGAGGATCTTACCCCTTCCGTTCATTGCCGTCTTCGCTTACGAAATTCCCGGGGACACGGGTGCCTTGTTTCTCTACAACGCCACTTTTCGACCCTGCACTCGACGAATTACTCAGGAATCTCAGAAGCTCACGAAAGAATTTGATGAAGGAAGAATCCCTTGATGAAGTTATATTATCTGAATCGACTGCTTCGTTAGAAACTACGATTTCTTCAGTGTCATCCACCACCTCACTTTTATCAAGACGAGCCTCCCTCTCAACACAGATTTTTAAATCTAAAAACAACGTGGGCTTTGAATTTCAAAGCAGAGATGAAGAATCCAAGGGATCATTGACCCTCGAAAGACCGAAGAAAAGAAGGAGATTCCAGAGAAGGAATTCGTTTATAGTTCGAGATTTTGCACAACTCGCGAAAATTGCAAGTCAGAGCGATGTTGGGGCTGGTACCGGTACGCAAAGTCTGTAGCTACGATTTCTGTTACAACTAAACTTCCCGGAAAAATATAGATCGCTCATTTGCCTTGTCAACAATTATGGGGAATTGTGACACCAGAGTCCCAGCTACTGTTCATACGTTAAAACCTTTGCCTAAGCTAACAAAAGGATATTAATAGATCGATGCAAATTTACAACATCTAGAACGAGTTACCATTTTAGACCTTATGTGCTACAGTATAATTGACTTTGATTGAAAGTTTTAATTTGTGCTGTGCATGATGAATGGCAAATGTCAAAACATATTTATGAGGGGTATGACATTCTGAATTGACATTCTATCTACCATTTTCTATTCTTTTGTTTTCATGTGGTGTTGTTCTTGGAGTCTTTTGATACTCCTTGACCAATTCCTCATCGTATACTACTATCACTAGTACTACTAGTGGAATTAGTAGTAGTAGTAGAACGTTTTTGATTACTACTATGAGTTAAAGGTTACACCAGAGTGTTGCTAAGATACTATTGATGGTTTGATCATACATACAGTACAAAGAAAAGCCTGCATTGATCAAACAAGCAAGAAATCACCATGAAAATGCTAGCAAATAACACATAGTGATGAGATCTGGCTTCTTCGAACAAATTCTGAAGCTTGCTCTGACATTTCTGAGCCAAATTTGAAGCCTTGATCCGACATTTCCAAGCTAGTTTCAAGCTTGGAAACTAAGTTGGAAACCAAGTAGAAAGACACACTCAGAATGCTACTAATAAAAAACTAGACAAGATGGAATCTGGCTTAGTAGGCATAGAATAAGAGATCCAATCAAGGGGTTGATTAAACTTCAATCTGGCATCCTAAGCAAGTGCCTCTCAAGCATCTGCTTGCAGCTCTTGCCAGTGCAAATCCAATTCTAGATCTGACTAGGCCACATACTTGAGAGTAGTTTCTCCCCTACTTGGAAGCAAGCCTGGAGGCAAGCTGTTTTTGAGCTGCAACTGCCTCTGGGCTTCCATCCCATCAATGGAGTAGACAAGAGGTGCGAAGTGGCATTTGGCCTGGTGACATGCATCCTGGTACTTATCCTTCTTTTCTTGCTCCTGGGATTGGAGCCCATGCAGTGGACTCCTCTTTTCACAGGAAGAGGAATCAGTGTCTGTGATCCTGATGTCAAAAACTGCGGGGGTAACCTGCTTCCAAAAACCATGCACAGCAAAATCACCTCTGAGATTGCGTGGTGGTGGTAGTGGGGAATTCCTCTGACATTGGCTTTGGGGTGGTGGTGGCTGGTATGTAGGGATTCTGGGTTCATCAGTCACTCTACTGGGCGTCAAAGCTTCAGGACAGAGTTGGTGCCACTCATCTGCAATGTCATTATGACATTGCAGAATGAGTCCTAAAGTTGAATTCCTGGAGGGTTTTGCAGGATTTGGTGCAGTTGGCCAGACAATTCAGCCCACAGTGTTTTTGCCATTGGGACAGCAGAGGACTATCAAAAGTGGATTGCCCTGGGTGGCCCCCTCACATGACAGCAAAACAGAAAATGAATCTGTTAAGGATTGGTCTTGTAGAATCAGCTATTCAGAATGCCTGTAGCAGACTGCTTGTCCAGCACCACCAGATAGCATGCCATGAAGGCATGGTACGCTACTCAAGATGGGTGGCGATTGGCTAGCCAGTTGGTCAGATCTGCAATTTCCCCTTGGAGCATGAGATTCCATATCTGAGGAGCCATGTTTTGAGTTCTTTGCCGTCAGTTTCACCAGGGCCTGCAGCTCCAGAAAGCTTGGCACCAATAGTTTCCATGACGTGTTGGGTTACACTCAGTGGTGGGAGTTTGGTTGGGATCTTATTGTAGGGTTCAAAAACTCCATCTTTAGTACTAAGTGTTGTTGGGTTTTGCAAAGGAGGATGTTTTGATTCCAAAACTTTAAGGACAGGGCTTCCTGTTTTTGTGCACTTTTCATCAGGATGCAGCACTCCTCCACCAGCTCAATTGGTGAGTTGCACGCCTGGGTCAGGAGATCATCAATGAGGGGACTACAGTGACTGGCCTCCCAAAGCTTGATTTGGGTTTCTATGAGGGCCCTCATGTCACATGCCCTGTTCACCCCATGGTCCTCTTGCAAGACAAAAAAACACAAAAATCAGGGGCCATTCTGAATTCCATTAGTGCAAGGGCACCCCTTGCAACTCATTGCAAAAATATTTAAGAAACAGGTTTCCCTCCCTTCCCTGAGGGACCAAGTAGTACTGTTGTGGACATAAGTTGACAATGCACTTCCATTGACCCTGCCAGAGGCTATTGTTTGCCAGTGAGGTGGGTGCAAGGGTTGCTGTGAACGTGATCACCATAGACTGCATCTGATTTAGAATCAGCTTCAGTGAGCACGTAGGCAGACAGATCTGTTCCTGCATCAGGGACAAAGAGGAGATCTGACCAAATGAAGGGAAGATGAGGCAGGCCTGGGGAATCTGGAGTCTGCAGTGTCTCTGCATGGCAGCAAGGAAGAGCAACATTGGTAGCATTTGCCACATACAATAGCTCCAGCACTTCCTCCACAGTTTCAGTAAGCCCCTCAGGAAGATAACAAGGACCCTCATTCCCCTGCTTCCAGCGCTGTTGTTTCTCCCTGCACCAAGACTGGTCTCAAAGATTCAATCAAGGTGGGGGAGCCYCACTTGGAGATTCAATGGTCTCAATGACTCCCATTGTGGTCTTCTTCTTTCTTGCTAGAAGGAAATTCTGGTCTAATAGTGTGTCTAATAGTGCAAGGAAAACGCATATTTTTGATACAATGGAGTATTGAAAATGTGTGTGTTACTTTTAGTAGTAGCAGTATCATGGGTTCCAAAATTTCATGTTTTTCTTAGTACCAGAGTGGTGTGAGCGCCTCTTTTTAGTCTTTACATTGAACAACTATACTTGAGATTCCAAATTCCCAAAAAGACTGGCATCAAGCCAGAATTCCTGTAAGTCTATCCATTGAAATTTTGATTCCTATAATTCCAAAAACCCCAGATCCCTACATCAGGGAAATCACCCATTGTTATTGCTATTCCTGTTGCTGTTCCTGTTGCTGTTCCTGTTGCT